CTGCTATCTCAGCAAAGGGAAATGAACTTTAGATGTTCATTTTGATAACAATTGTTTATGAAAACAAGTCAAAAATGAATTACTATAGTGTAAGAAATGCAGTCTGAAAAACTTGTTTGATTTATGTAACAATTATAAAGCACATCTGTTTTTAAAACAAAAACAAAACACATTCTACAAATTTGTAGATCTATACACAATATTCTATCAGGTGTTTAGTAAATAGCCTCAGTACTCTATTAGCAACAAGGATGAAGAGTCATCAGTTAGGGGCTTCACCCCTATTCAACAGTGATCCCTACTGCAGTCCATGACAAGTAGCATCAGCCCATGCAGTTCAGTAGTTGGTCATACTCATTGTAAGGCTGACACATTAAGAATGGTCACTCAGAAGAAAATATATTTGAAGGGGACCACCTGTTGTGATTTATGGTGTAGTTGTCGTGTAGCGAGTAGTTGATACCTTCAGGAAAGAAGTGGAGAAGGTTAGTAAGGGAAGTGATTATTCTAGGCATAATAAAAACCGAAAATGCCACAAAAGCTTTGCAGGACAGGTTGCATCTTTGGAGCAAAAATTTGTGATCTTTCATCAGGGTCAGATTCATGCAAGTTGTGTGAAAAGTCATTGACTTGAAATGTCAACTGTGCTTATCTCTAAAGATTCTGCAAGTCCTGCTAAGTATTTGCAGAAATTTCTGTTTTTATTTCCAATTTCTAGCACCTGCAGTATTTTATTTTTGCTTTAAAGATTTTCAGATGTTTTCCAGTCAGTGCAGTTTTGGTATGCGTGTTATGCACAGTTGGACCAAAATCTTGTCTGTGGTGTTTCAGCCAAGTCTTAACACATTTAAATTGTACATACTGGAATTTAAGTACCACAGTACAGATTGGAAGGTTTACTTTTGAAAATACACACATGGTTATACCAATTGGTAGATCCGAAATTCAGATTTTCTTCAGTCATACTTATGTCCTTTTAGTCTTGCATTTATTGTCAAATCATTTGTTAATTCTTGTTTGTGTGTAGCTTGCTTCATGCCCTCATTTTCCCATTGATTTCACAGTGGATACTTTTCATCTAGCATAGTCTCCCACGGGAGACAACCTTTCATATTTACAGTTGGATATTGTCATTTTATATTTGTGTTTAGCTGTTCACAGGATGGCTTTCTTTTTCCTGCAAAGGGGTATGATAGACATTTTCTTCTCCACGGTGGCTTTAACCAAGCAAAATTTTGGAAAGCTTGGCTTCTCGCACAATCACCATTCTCATTGGGGCTCAATAAAGTGCTGACAAGGGGTGCTGTTGCCTGGAGCATAGCGCTTGTGACTGTACTTGTGACCTTGCTCCTCAGTAACACTGCAATTTGTATAGCCTTTCTGAAAAAAAGGCTATATGATACACTGAAAATTTTTAAAAATACATGGCTCGTCTGTCAGTAGGAAAGAGCAAGTTTAAATTAATTCCGAGTGTTTGTCAATTCTCGAACTGAACTTGCTGATGATTTACAGCATACGTAACCTTTTATGACAAATGTGTCACTGTTAGCCAACTGTCAAGCAAAATATTCATTTTTTTACATGCTGATTAAATAACATACAAAAATTGTATTTCCTTGCTTCTTGAATTCACCTACTGAGTTCTTCAGTGTGTCCAAAGAATGTAACAGCTAATTTTTGAAATGCAGTTATCCAAGAGCAGAAATTAAATGTCAATCTCTTTTGGTCATGTGGGCTGAATGTTAACTTGAATATCAGAACTATCAAAAGAGGGATCTATTCACCACCTGAACAGACCAGTAACACATTTGCTCATCCAATGATGGTACCCAAAATGCTGAGAAGTGAGTACAAGTTGTGCTGTCACGCCTTGGGGGTGAAAAAAAGAATCCTTTCTGTGGTCAGTCTTGGCAAATCAAAAAATCTTGCACTGTAATTCATATCACATTCACGCAGTGAGAATCTGACTCCACTAATTTTATAGTCAATCTTATTTTGACGAGTTAGCCCTGACTGTTCAATGGAGCAGTCTCTCAGAATTCTAAAATCAAATGTAGGCCATCTAACAAGGCAAATGTTGGTGTCTTTTCATGTTGGGGCTGATAAAAATATAGCTGTGGGAAAGCATGCCTCCAAGCTACCTCCATCCATTGAGTTATTGTTTATCTGGGCCTGTAAAATTGGAGAAACACAATCATTTTTGTAGAACAAACTAGAATTTAAACATTTCTCTGGATATTGTTTCATTACCACAGCATCATAGAATCAGAGAATTAAAAATTAAAATCCCTCAAAAATGTGCGTCACTGATTTAGCTGTAATTGCCAAGTGCAAATCAATCATCCTGGTTTTAAAAAGTGATAATTTACTACATCACACATCTTTAAAATGAAACAGCTCCTTATTGATCACAAATGTCACTGCAAACATTTTTCTAATGTTGACAGTTTAGCAGAAGAAAGATGACAGATGTGGCTATGAAGCAGTAGAACTGGAAAACTAGAAAGTGAACACATTGAGTACGGAATGATCAAAATGTGAGACAAGCAGTTGATAAGTACTGTAACTTTAGCAATTTAAATATGTTGCCATTATGAATTCCTGTAGGCTAAGATTGCTAATTTAGTGTCAATGTTGTTGTTTTATACTATAGACACATGCAAGTTTAATTAGAACTTGCTTCAGTTTATTTCATTCACCATTAAGCTGAGAAGGCTTTTAATTAAATGAGCAGTTCAAGTCTCCAATGGTACTTACTGCCTAGAATTAAATTTGGGCAAGGCTGAAGGTGGTACCTGTGAAAACATACAGCAGCAACTCTGGACATTTGAGAAACACAAACAAGAAAATGGAAAGGAAAATGTTGTTGTCCAAAAATATACCAGATATAAGAAAAGGTTTGGCATTTTTGGTGCACGTGGTATTCCAATATTTGGCAAAGGAGATAACCCCTTCCTTTTTCATCACAATTAATCTTGTACAAACTATACCACAAAGAGAAATTTCTACAAAATGACATTTTTGTTTGATCCAGTTAAGTATTTGAATGTGCTTTTTTTATCTTTCTGTAAGTAAAATGTCCTGGAATTGATTAATTTTTAAATTGGCACTGTGAGAAGTAAAATGCACAACCAGTTTGTGCACAAGGTATCATAGACACCAATGAGAAAAATGACCTCCTGTTTTTTTGGCAATTTTGGTTGTGATGTTGGTTGGTTAGAGGAATCCGCTGCTCAACAAATAATGCTATTGGAAATTTTTGTATTCATCCAAGATGGTCGTCCAGGTTTCAGATTAACATCTCATCCAAAAAACAAAACTGATGTTGAAATGTCCAGTTAGATTTTATTCTGAAATCTTGAAAACTGTTTGTGTTCAATCACAAGATTTGGGTATTTCTGGCAAAGCCAACATTCATTGCTCACCTCTAACTTCCCTTGAGAAGGCGATGATGACCTGCCACCTTGAACTGCTGGAGTCCATGTGGTGAAGGTGCTCCCATTATGCTGTTAAGTAGGAATCTCTAGGTATTGACTTAGTGACAATGAAAGAACACATCTATTTCTGAGTCAGTGACTTGGAAGAATACTTAAAGATGATGGTGTTTCCATGTGCCTGCTACTCTTGTCCTTCTAGATAGTAGAAGTCTGTGTTGAGGAAGTGCTCTCAAAGAAGATTTGAGTTGCTACAGTGTATCTTTTGGATGGTGCATGATGTTGAGTAAACCTTGAACTTGTTGCCTGTTAAGTCAGCAGCAAGATATTAACTTTGAGTCGAGATAGACACTTTACATGATATCGAAAGCCTTGATGAGGTTTTATGATTTACAGAGGTGCAACGAGTGAAAACTCTGAACAACCATGCTTTACCTTCTTCAGTGAGGAACACCCACTTTTTTGTCATCTTGTTCTTTTAGCATCTCTAAGCTTAATGGGAATTTTGCCTAAAACTTAAATTTGAGTAGTCTCCTCAAAAAAGAGTTGTATTCTGAAGATGTCAAAAATTGAGTTAGAAGTTGCACAATGATAAACAGAATTTTAAGAATGTCTTTGAATGGCTCATGTAAAGATTAGATCACATTCTGCTCATTAAAATGAGGATACGAGGGCTGGGAATGAAACATGACCTTTTCATGCACCGGGTTCAGAAAATACTTTTAGGTGGGGTATATTATAGCAGAATTAAAAATTATTCTGGCCAAGCAAACTGCCTCAGATCTTACCTCAGAAGAGACCACCATGCTGAACATGTGTCGGACTTTTCCATTTCCCACACTATGGCTCCATTGAGATCACTGATTTACTATGCGTTTTGTACTATAGGCCTGTACCTAATAAGAACTGAAATAAATGAGAATCCAGGACCTAAAAAGTGAAAGGCCAGTGTCTATCCCACAACAGTCCCTACTTTAGCAGAGTTTTTTCTTTGATATACCATTGATCTTTGTATTCTGTCATTCAAATTTGCATTAGATAAAGACTTTGATTTGAAATGCTTTTACCAGGTATTGCATTGTGAAATCTATTGTAGGTAGGCCTTCAAAAAAGGGATGTTGTCTCTTGAGTCGATCCTCGGACAAACAATTTTTTGTTTTGTTAATTCTTAACGTGACATTATTTGTCAGTTGTATTCACTATTTTGCACACATTTTCCCATCTCTTATTTTTCACATATTTCAGAAAATACAGAAAAATTGGCTTATTCTTTCTTTTAATTTTCCTTCCCTTTTATCACACATTTACTCAAGTATCATAATTATCACACAAGCTCCTCCCTTATTTATTTTAGTAGACCAGCAATGTGAAGGACTTCTGAGGGAAAGCAAAAGATCAGAATGCCTCATGATTCCACTGTTGCAAGACGGATGTACACTGCTTGCAAGATGTCTTGCGGCAAAAAGATCCCTGTTGTGAAACCAGTAGCAATATACAGGCATATTATGCAGCAGCCCTGATAAGTCATTTAAAAAAATATATAAATGGCTTCTTCTCTCCTGGCAGAAACCGTGAGAGCAATGACACATGTAATTAACCAAGGAATGGCTATGTACTGGGGCACCTCACGATGGAGTGCGATGGAGATCATGGTAAGAACAGTACAAGAGTTTGAACTTCAGCAAAACTAATTATTTTGCTCTTTTTTTTTCAGAAATAGTTAACGTTACAATGCCCTGAGGCAACATTTGTGTTGTGTCGAGAGAAGTGGAATTTCGGTTAACATCCAAAATTCTTTGCTTCTAGATCCAACTGAGTTAATCTTTGCAACTGCTGAACAGGATAACCTTCTGTTCAACAAGCAGCTTGTTTTGTATCATACCATACCTCTTGCATCTGGGTCAGGTAGCTGTATCGCACTGGATAGTCCTGTAGCAATTATGTAGCATCAAGCTATGCTATTGCATGTGGAACAGTGTCAGACCATTCTATAGCAACAGTTTAATGTTGCAGCATCCTGCAATAATTCAGCTTTCTGAACAGAACGTTTCCATTGAGATAGTGACTATATTAATAAAACAACAGTAGTCACAATAGGTTTACTTGCGGAATTTTATGTATGATTGTATGGAAGTAACTAATTTTTTTCTTTTTATTTCAGATTTTATTAATTAATCGTATTGTGTAAAATTGGCAATTGCTGAATAGATTTTCATTAACAACGTACAGTGATCTGAAAATGTTTTAACTTTTTTTGTTATAAACATAAGGTGTCAATGTTTCTAGTTTCAAAAGGCAATGCGTGTCAAGTTTTCTAAACCACCAAATGCAAAAGTATTAACAGCACAGTAAACAGTCTGTGCTGAGTAGTGACATTAGAGATGTCAATCCCTTGCATTAGGAAATGGAAGAATTGCACAGCTTTCTGCTGACTCACTGTCTGGAGATTTGAACCACAGAATTGTTAGTTAAGCCCTAGCTACTACTACCCAAATTTGATTGGGATTGATTAGAATTTCTTAAAAGCACCCCTCTCAAATATGATACAATCCAGAGGGATTTTCCAGTGATTGAGTTGGTCACTAGCCCCTTTCCGTTTATTGCTCCTCAGTCACCTTTTAAGCATTCTTTTGAATTTTAATCTTATTCCCCACGTGTGGTCTTCTCCCTCAGTATTCACTGCCTGCCACAATCTGCTGATTTTCTTCAAATGTGAGTTTGGAGTCATGTGTTAATTTATCTCACCTTCTGTACTATGGTGTTCATATTTACTGCTGTCCTAGATTATGGGTCTGGGCCCTTCATCTTGGCTTGATGAAGAATCATTCCAAAAAACAGTTCCAATAACTGAACTCCTTTTTGCTTTTCCTGTACAGATGAATCCCTACTGATTTCTCTGAACAATTTAGACCTCACCTAATACATGTGAAATGTGCAGCCCAAATTTTAATTCTCACTTCACAATCTCCACACTTGTTCATTATTATGTGACTTGAGAATCTTCCTAAGCCTCGCTAGATGTTATTCAAGGATCCAACTAGAGACTTGTATGAGCATTCAACTTGTGGACCATTCGTCACTTAGGATTGTATGTTTTCAAATAGGGCTCTGATCCCTCTGTACCTCCATTGAGTTATATTCATAATTTTTTTCCTATTTGACTTCCAAAGAATAGCTTCCATTTTTCTCTTGTGCATACAGCTACACAGGTTAAAATATAATTACATTTTTTAAAATTAAATTTCTTTCTTATGCTGCATGTATCATCACAGTGTGTATTTCTTTTCACAAACAATTATTCTTTTACAAGTCATTATTTTGGAATTTTTAAATATGCCTTTTTCTCAACAGCATGATCCACAGCAAATGTACAGACTGACACCAAAAGCAACAGTGATGTCAGAAATAGTTCTAAATTTTAATTGCCAAGAGGTAGCTATTAATAGAAATGCAGTCAAAACAATTGTATTTAGTCCCATTTGTGCCAATTTTAGTTACATTTTGAAACCTTTTGCGAGAATAGGTGCAATTTGATTGGCCTTAAGAAATTCTGTGTTTGTGATGATGTACAATAGTATGATATTAAGGATCCATGCCTTTGATGCCATGATTGCAAACTGGATTCACCTCTTCCATACTGAATGAGCCTGTTCTCCCTCAACAGAGTCACTGACCAAAGAATTTGTAAGCCAGCAGGCTATATATTTGTGAAGACTGTGTTTCAATGCATGGAAATTTTGTGGTTCAAGTATTGTGGTGGTATCAATTTTTTATTTAATGAACCCTATTCCCTTGTTAAAAGCTGCACCGTTCAATTAGATTTCTCCACTGCATTAGTCACTCTACTGGATTTAAAAAAGCCAGAGATTACAGCTACTGTATTTGAGTTAATAATATCTCTACTGACCTCAACTCATTTCCCTCATATTTGGGTAACCCACCAAACACCATCACCATTGACTAGGTACTATTAAACATTCAACTAGCAATAATAGCTAGATCATAGTTCTAGTGTTGCCAGTGACTCTCACCACTCCATGAGCAATTTTTATGTTAAAAACGCTCTCCATCACCCACATCTACTCACCTGAGATTGCCTTAGACAAAAAAAAGGGACATCACATAAAATTCTGATGGATTGGTTTCGGGACAGGGAAGGCAAATTTGACTGTTTGTTAAATAAGGCTCATTGGCATCGAATCACCAACCCCCATTCTGTAAAGTGCTGAGGTATGAGCCTAGTTTGTGGTGCAGAATTGAGACCTCAAAGTAAGTGTAAAATATGAACAGCCGGGTTCTGATTTAGAACATTAGAATTTGTAGTGCCATGTTTCCTCCCATAACAGACAAGTGACTGTGGTACTTGTAAGACTGCCAGAATTCTACACTGTAACCATCACAGCGCTAGTATTTATGAGACTGTCATGTTTGAAAATGTGCTGTGAATGTTTAATATAATTTTATTATCCAAGGGTATAATGTAGATCAGATGTAATGCAAAGATAATGGAAAATTTTTCTTTGATAATTGTCTAGTCACATTGATAGCACAGGCCCTTGGCAGTTAGCCAGAACAAATGAAAAGTTAGGCATCAGAAAATTCCATCTGGTCTATCAGAGTCTGCCTCCTTTCTTCAGTGCAACAACATCCTACATGTTAAAGTATATCCCTGCCCTTCCCTTCCACCACACATTAACACTGCAGTGTGGTAACCGAATGTATTTTGAATAATTCTTATGTTTTGCTTCTGTTACTTTGTTTGGTAAATTATTCCAAGCAGCATTTTTTGATTCAAGAATTTATTCCTAGTAACTGTTCTAGGTTTACCGTTGATGACAGCTGGTTTGCAATGCAGTGATGCCAATAGCGTGGATTCAATTCCAGTTACTGGCTGTGGTTACCATGAAGCATTATCCTTCTCAACTTCTCCCCTCATCTGAGGCTTGTTGACCGTCTAGGTTAAACCAGCACCGGTCATCTCTCTAATGAGAGAGTGATCCTGTGATCTGATAAGACTGTGGTGAATTTACTTACTTGAATTTACCATTGATGAATTTCCATTTATATCTTTTGCTTCCATCTCTTTAAGTGCTTAATAACAAGGTATACTGCAACTGAACATTGATTTTGTTTTTATGAGCAGAAACTGTTGGAAAAGCGGGTTTGATGATTCCTCTTTCAAGATACCAAATTATTCTGTAACTGTCTCTGTCCTTCAGGAGGCTTACTCAGTGGCTCGACAATTTAACCTCATCCCCCCAATATGTGAACAAGCTGAATATCACCTCTTCCAGAGAGAGAAAGTTGAAGTGCAGCTTCCAGAGCTTTTCCATAAGATTGGTAAATATATTTGCCAACTAGTAAATAAAAATTATCTACTTTGAATAATTTCTTTCTTTTATCAAAATTTGTCTACTTGTGCTGGAGTATATTTCTACAGGTGCTGAACTATCTATGGTCCTTTAACCAAGTATCGAGCAAAGAATCTGGAAACTGAGAAAATAGATTTCAAAGTTTTTTGAGTGTTTGATTTACCTTTAAGCACTTTTTGTACATCACAACAACAGCTTTTATTTGTAAGCACTTCTAGTGTAATAAAATTTCCCAATACACTTCAGAATCATAATAAAGCAACATTTAATTCGGGTAACAGTGAAAATCACCAAAAGCTTAGTCAGATGTAGTTTTAAAGAACATCTTAAAACAGAAGAGAGAGGAAAACAAAGATTTAAGGAGGGAATTCCAAAGGAAAAGGTTTTAGCAACTGAAAGCACTAATAATGGAGCAGTCAAAATCGGGGATATTCCAAGGGCTCAAAATAGAGGAGTGTGGATACTTGAGAGTTGTGAGGCTGAAGGAGGTTACTGAAATGGGGGAGGGGTTCGACACAATGCCATGGAGGTATTTTTTTTTAAAAAGAGTGAAAATTTTATAATAGAGGCATCACTTAACTGGGAGCTAATGTAGTTCTTCAAGGATGGGGGTGAAAGGTGAATGGGACTTAGAGTTATGACATGGGCAGCAGAAATTTGGATGACCTCAATTGTGGGGAGGATAAAATATGGGAGGCCACTCGACTGTACTGAAGTAGTCAGGTTTATGCTAATAGAGTTGTAGTTGAGCTGGAGAGGAGCGGAGCCAGACAATCTTCCTGAGGTGAAAATAAGTGATCTTGGTTGGACACCAAGATTGCCGATAGTCTGGTTTAGCCTAGTATAGTTGCCAAACCAAAGAATCAATAGCTAGATGCCTAGGTAATGGAGTTTTGTTGAGAGGATCAAGAATAACGTCTTTGATCTTTTCAATGTTTAACGGGAGGAGATTTCTGCTCATTCTGTGCTTGATATCGTCAAAACAAACTGACAATTTATAGAGTAACAAGGTTTAGAAATATAATGGTCTGATAACGCTATGTGTCATCAGCATATATGTGGAAACTGGTGCTGTGTTTTTGAATGATACTGCCATGGGGCCGCATATCAGAGGTGACAACACGGGTTTGGGTAATAAAGTTATGTTGGGTGATTGTCTGACTGTGGATAAGAATGGAATTGGGGAAACAAGAATCCTATACAGCTGGGCAATAGTGGTTGGGCATTGGAGGAGGTTCATATAGTTAGCCATATCAAAGTTTGCTGACAGGTCGAGAAGCCTCATTTACTTTAGTCTGTCACAGGATATCATTTTTAACTTTGATAAAAGCTGGTTTGATGCTGTGGCTAAGGCAGAAACCTTATCAGAGGGTTTCTGATATGGAGTCTGAAGAAAGTCTGGAAGGCAGTAGCATGTTCAAGAATTTTGGAGAGGAAATGTTGGAAATGTGACACTAGTTTGCAAATCTGAAGAACTCAAGGGTTTTATTTAAAGAGGGGTATTGACAGCAGATTTGAAAGACAGTAGCTGAAGTGAGAGAGAGAACGATACAAGTTAAAGCTGGAAACAGGAAGGGAAGTTATATGGTCAGCAGTACATTGGAAAAAGAGTTATGAGAGACAGGAGATGGGCCTCATCAATGAGATTACTTCAGAGAGAATACTGGGGAGAGAGAAAATAAAGATTGATGTGAGTTTAGGCCTGAGAACCTGTGGGGAGTTTTAGATGAGTTTGACCAAATGGCTGGGGAAATGGTAGAGTCTGCTGTGATCAGATGGTCTCCATTTTAGTGACGGTGAATTCGGTGAGTTCCTGCTCTTGTTGAAGGTGAAGATAGAGGAGACACAGGTTTCAGCAGATAAAAGATGCTGGAGGTTATCGTTGCATTCCAGTTATTCCTAAATTAGTGAGTGGTTTAGACAGGTGAGCAGGATCCAATAGTGCTTCATGTGATCCAGGCAGGTTTGGTAGTTAATCATTTAACCAGTTGTCCTCAAAATCCCTTCGAGCCTGCATTCCTTGGACTTGAGGGAATGGAGGTGAGGGCCATATCAGGGGACCAACTAGAGAAACAGCATAAAATACAATATTTTTAATGGAAATGATGGCTTCAAAAGTAGCAGTGAGGTTTGCAGTTGAGCAAAATATCTTATTAATGAAGAGTCAAATTCTAGATGGGGATTTAGAGTTTGAAAGTGCAACTGTTTTGTTTTGTTCAAGGGTGAAAACCCCCAATTTCTGCCCTAGTTCTGCTGAGATTACCAGATGGCTGCTTTCCCAAGCAGTAACATTTGCTCCAGTGCGTTACTTGAGCTGAGTAGGTGTAACTTACTTTTCTGCTTTTATTACTCTTTGTTGAAGGTGTTGGTGCAATGACATGGTCCCCTTTGGCCTGTGGTATTATTTCTGGAAAATATGACGCAGGAGTTCCTCCTTACTCTAGAGCTTCCCTAAAGGTACAGTAGGAATGTCTTTGTATTGACTTTTTTTAATGTTTGTTCATGGAATATGGGCATCACAGGCCAGGCCAGCATTTATTGCTTGTTCTTGACGATATTGGTGAACAACCCTTCGTGAACTGCCAGGAGGGTAAGTGCACCACAGTGCTATTCATAAACGGAATTCCAGGATTTTAACCAGTTCATTACTATAAACCTAGAATTTAAATCATTTGTAATACTGTTACTGCTACTGTAGTTGAGATGCATATATGTCAAGATAAAATTGTTGTGAATATGTTTGGTTAGAAGAAGATTTTACTGTCATTTGAAGTCAATTCACACATGAATAATTGTTATTGTTTCCTTTCAGTGAAATAACTTTTAAAATTAAAATTAATTATATTTCAAGACAAAAGTGAAATGAATGTAAGAGTTGAAACAACTAGAATATTCTAAGTTAAACAGTAATCTGCACACTGATATAAAGAAATGTAAAGTTTTATTAACTGGTTTGAAATGCGAGGCAAATACATTCCATGACTGTTGCTAGGATTACTATTTGAAAGTCACCGTCACCATAGACAGTATAACTATCTCACCAATCCATTGAGAGAGTGTGATTAGGGTAACTTTTTAAGATTCCGACTTTTGATGTACTGTCTTACCAACTCTAGCTGCTAGCTTTGAAAATAAACATGAACTGAGTCACAATATAATTACAGGGTTACCAGTGGTTGAAGGATAAAATTCTAACTGAGGAAGGCAGACGACAGCAAGGAAAACTAAAAGAACTGCAGGGTATTGCAGAGCGACTGAGCTGCACTCTACCTCAGTTAGCAATAGGTAAGGATTTAATATTGCTATCTGGAAATTGAGAAAAATGGTTGTTGTTCTTAGTAATCTAGAGCTAACAGTTCTTTCTTTATGACTTTGTGACACCACATCATTCTAATGTTCTGTGTCAGGCAGCATTCCTTCATCTGGCTAACATTTTGGAAGCACAAGTGAAGAAATTTGGGCACACAATGAATGTGATTTTCTGACCACTTAGATTAATGGTTATAAAGTTAGATGCAATTCATTCTAGTTTCAAGTATGCACCACTACGAAATGACGCTCCCCATTGGTACACCAATTCAGAATTTGCTCTTGTAGTAATCTGCATTCTGCAACAATTTTTAGAAGCTTTTTTTGTCATTTGGTGAAGTCAGTCCACAACTGAGTAGATGTTCCAGCTTTTTCAGATGCAAAATTTTAGACTGAAATCTAACTTTGAATGAAATACTAGACATTTCACTGAGCCGGGTGAAATTGCAATAAAGGAGCGTTCTGTCACATTTAAAATTCAGCCCAGATTAAGAGCTGTAAAAAGTCGTCGTTCTGACAGGGAGCAAGGTTAGGGTTTAACCAATGTTTTCACCTCATGTGTCTGGTCAGTGAAGCCCCGGTCTTTTAACTATTCTGAGTTTATCGGATACCCTTATTCTTCCTTGTGAATTTTAACAGCAGCCAAGTACAATACCTTTGACATAAAATAACATCCCAAGGTACTAGAGTCCTCAGGAAAAATGGAGGCCAAACCAAAGAAGGCAAGGTTAGGATTAACCAAAAGCTGGGCTGACAAGGTCATTTTTGAGGGGAAATTTTAAGAAGGACATACAAGTGAAGACCAGAAAAACGTATACAAGCACTTTCAGAGCATTGAGTGCAGGCAACTGAGGACATGCTGCTTGTGGTGGGACAAAGGAAAGCAAAGAATTTTAAGAAAATTGTGTCAAAGAAAATGTGTTTGTAGAGTTAAGAGTGAACCAGAGAAATATTTAAGTATGAGGCTGAGAATTTAAATTTTAAATTCAAGATATTAGGAACCTAAGCCAGCATAGGTCACTAAAGTGAAAAGTGAAGGGTGAGTGAGACTTGGAAATAGAAGGGGTAGCAATTTGGGTTGATATAAGTGTGGAAGATAGAGGCCAGCTTGAAGATCATTGGACTAACTGAATTCAGGGATGATAGTGGATTGAATGAGCGTTCCATAGCAAGTCGGTTGAGATTGAGTGGTGGAGGACTATTTTATTTACAAGTGGACAGCCTTTGTGATGAGAAGATATGAGTTCAGAAACTCAGCTTGAGCTCAAGTATGATGCTGAGGGTATAGTTCAGCCTGAGACAGCTGCCATAGTGAAATATGATAGCTGAGTTACAGATTGGGGCAATGGTGAAGTACTGTTTCAGACTGTCCCGATATCCTGACATTCTTCAGTTTTAAAATGTGATCCAGAATCTGTTCATTCAAAGATATTTCTTATTCTTTTATGGTTTTAATCCAAAGGATTATTGCATTAAATTTTAAAACTTTTAAGGTTATGTTGTTTACAGATATTAATATTTCTACGTGAAAGTAGGAAAAAAATGAAGCACGTACCAGACCAAAGCCTTCCCAATTTATATTTGTGGGAATTGTAACAATACATTGAAATCAAAAAGCATAATTTGTCATTGGAGGGACTCAAATCCCAGATTTGATCTTCTAAGGCTGAGAGAAGTGCCTATGTAGATGAATAATTGCTTCTCTCTCCCTCCCATTTCTGGGTGAACACTATAGTCTCTGCTATTCTTGCACAACACTTGATGTACCAATAGTAAATTCTTTTTTGCAATTTAAAGAGATTGTAAAATACACTTGTCATACTTCTTTGTGCTATCAAATAACGTAGATGCAAAGTGATTGTAAATGAAACTATGGAAAGCAAAATTTGTGGTGACCACAGTTCAAAGAAACATTGTACAGTAAGTCCCCATTAAACATTAACATTACATTCACGAAACAATATTAAATGAAAGATTTTCCAAAAACTCTTCTAGTTAGGTTCCATAGAAATGTCCCATCTGCAAGAAAATCATTGTGCACTGTAAGTTTAAGCACTGCCCATTGGTAAATTACTATATTCCTAAACAAAATAGTTTTTAAAATATATTTCTGCCCACTTATTCTCCCTCTTGCTTGGCACCAACCCTGTGCTGACAGGCTTCCCATTTTAATTTATCAATGTGCTGCTAGTGAGTAAGATGTTAGTAGAAGAGATGATGTTTTCCACTGCTTCAAGCAACTGTTCTTGAGATCAATGTCTAATGTTCCAGATCATATTGAAGGCAGGGACATTATTTCCTTCGTGCTGTTAGGTGGTACAGCATAATGCGGACCTGTTTCTGACAATAGATGATCCAGACAGAGTATATACAGCATTCATATTCTAATAATCTTGTGTTTATCTTGCAGCCTGGTGTTTAAGGAATGAGGGAGTTAGTTCTGTGCTAGTGGGAGCCTCTAACACTGAACAACTTCTGGAAAATATTGGAGCAATACAGGTTAGTATCAGTTTAAGTCAAGCAACTGTTGTCCTCAAAAAGACGCAGGAATGTATGTACCTTGCTTTTGGCTGTTGAGCAAAATCTACATTGTGTGTAAATTGATATTGTTTTCTGCGACCAAGTGTGTTACCTGTCCAATGTCAGTAATAAGGACTCCCACCCAAAACTGGAGAGGAGTGGGAGAGGAGGAATTAATTTGTTTTGGACCACTTTGGTACCCATATATAGGATTAAGAAAGTGGTTCTGTTAAGGAAGCTAAAACAGTCCGCAAATATAAGAATCTGACTGGCTTCAGTCTTGATATGGAAAAGATTCACATTCTCATGACAAGATGGCTGAATTAGTAGCATGAATAGAAATGAATTTGATAGCCATTTTAAAGTCAAGATCGGAAGCTGATCGTGAACGGAAATAAAAGAAAATACAGGTTGCTTTGTTAATAAAGGATGTGATCAGTAGTATATGAAATGATCTTGATTCTACTTGGGGGACATAAGAAACAGAAAAAGATCTTACTGGTGAAAGTGGTTTATAGGCTGAAAGACAGTGGTTACACTTTAGGATAGAGTATAAATAGGCTACAGAAGATAATTTTATTTCCATATAGATTAGATAAATCAAATGAGGAAAAAAATGTAGCCTGAGGATGAGTTCATGAATGTATTCTAAACAGTTCTCAAAACAGTACATTCTGGAACCAACCTGGCTATTTTAGACTTTGTAATATGTAATGAAACAAAATTTATTAATGACCTCATAATAAAGGATCCTCAAGTTAAGAGTGATTGTAACATAAGCAAATTTTCATTTAGTTTGAAGGCAAGAAATTTATGTCTAAAAGTAGTGTCTGAAATTTAAGGAAAGGCACTTTAAAGGATATGGAGTCAGTATTGGCTGAAGTGTAAAATAGGTTAAAAGTAACATACCGGAGAAGCAGAAGCCAGCATTTGAGATATTTCATAGTTCTTTGGCTAACTAAAGAAGTTAAGGATGGTATCGCATTGAAAGAAAAGGTAAACAATGCTGGAAAGATTAGTGGTAACCCAGAAGAATAGCGATATTTTAGAAAGCAGCAAAGAATGGCTAAATACTAAAGAGGAGAGAAAAGTAGATCAAAAGGAAGAGAGAAGGCAAAGTGAGGCTGGGGAAATAATGATGGGGAACCAAGAAATGCAGAGAAACGAAATAAATACTTTTGTACCAGTCTTCACAGTAGAAGATACCAATAGCATTCCACAATTACTAAAGATTTAAGGGGTAAAAGGACAGGCAATAAATACAAGAACTATCATTTGACAGAAAGGTGCTAGGGAAACTAATGGGACCAAAGACCAATTAGTCCCCTGGATCTGATGCGATGCATCCTAGGATATGAAAGGAAGTAGATACAGAGATAGCGGACACACAGATTGTAATCTTCCAGGAATCCTTAGATTCTGGAAAAGCCTTAGAGTAAACACCAGTGTAACACCTTTATTTAGAAAGGAAGGAGACGATAAAAGGTAACTATAGACCAGTTAGCTTATGCCTGCTATTGGGAAAATGTTAGTGTCTATTATAAAGGATGTAATGACAGAGCATTTGGAAATGCATAATATGCTCAAGCAGAGTCAGCATGGCTTCATGAAGGAAAAATTGTGTCCAACAAATTGACTAACATTCTTTGAGGAGGCAACAAGCAGGATAGATAAAGGGGAAGCAGTGGATATAATATACTTGGATTTCCAGAATGTGTTTGATAAGGTACTACACATGAGGCTACTTAAGAGCCCACGGTGTTGGAGATAGTATATTAGGAGGGATAGAGCATTGGCTAACTAATAGAAGACAGAGGGGTAAAACAGGCATGTTCATTTTGGCAAACTATAGCTAGTGGTGTTCGACAAGGATCACTGTTGGGGCCACAATTATTTACAATATATATTAATGACTTGAATGAGGAAAGTGAATGTACTATAGGCAAGTTTGTGGGGGGTGTGCCACAAAAATACAAGGGAAGGCAAATGGTGAGGTTGGCACAGGGTTATACACAGGTTAAATGAGTGGGCAAAAACTTGGCAGATGGAATATAATGTGGGGAAATGTGAGGTTATGCATTTTGACAGGAAGAATAGAGAGGCTGAATATTATTTAAGTGGAGAAAGACAGCAAAAAGCTGCAGCTTAATTTGAGAAACCTTGTTCGTGAATCAAAGAGCAAGCATCAAAGTTCAGCGGGTAATAGGAAATGGAAATGAAATGTTGGCCTTTACTTCAAAGCGAGTGAAATCTCAAAGTAAGGAGGTTTTGCTAAAACAGTACAAAGCACTAGTCAGACCACAACTGGAAGATAATGAACCGTTTTGGGCCCGTTATCTAAGGAAAGATAGACTGGCATTGGAGACACTCCAGAGAAGGTTCATTAGGCTGATATCAGGTATGTAAGGACTTTTATGAGAAGAGTTTGAGTGGATTGAGCCTGTTCTTGATATATAGAAGAATGAAAGGTGACCTTATTGAAGGATATGAGATTGTTAGAGGAGTAGACAGGATAGATATGGAAAGGCAGTTTCCTCTTACAGGAACAGTCTAGAACCAGAGGACATCAGCCAAGAATTGGGGGGCGCGCATTTAAAACTGAGATAAGGAAGAATTTCTTCTGAGCGTTGTGAATCTTTGGAATTCTTTACCACTGAGGGCACTTGAAGCTGGGACATTAAACATGTTCAAGGTTGAGATAGATTTTTAATTATTAAGGGAATTGAGAGTTATTAGGAAAAGGCAGGAAAGTAGAATTGAGGATTATCAAATCAGCCGTGATCCCATTAAATTTTGGAGCAGACTCGATGGGCTGAACTGCTCAAATGTCTCATGGTCTCATTGGGGGTAATTATATGAGTGTGATAGAAGATTGGTTAGTGAACAGGAAACCGAGCCCAATAAATTGTTCACTATCAAATTGGAAAACTGCAACTTGTGGAGTGCCACAGGGACCACTTCTGAGGCGTCAACTATTTATAATCTGCCTAGTAATCAGATTTGCTTATGATACAAATATAAGTAGGGAGGCAGACTATTGACAAATGGGAAGTACAATGTCGGAAAATGTGAGTTTGTCCATCTTGGCTGGCAGATTAAACAAAACAGAATATTATTTACAGAGAGCAACTACAAAATGTTGCAGTGCAGAATGTTCTGGATGGCCTTGTACATGAATCACAGAAAGTTAGCATCCAGTTATAGCAAATAATTAGGAAGTCAATTGGAATGTTGCACTTTATAAAAATAGAGATGTCTTGCTACAGCACTTTGGCGAGAATGCACCCTCATCCAATGCAGAGTTTTGGTCTCCTTCCTTAATGAAGAAGATATTTGCATTGGAAGCAGTTCAGAGAACATTCACTATACTGATTTTTGGTATGAAAGGATTGTGTTATGACAATAAGTTGAGCAGGTTGGGCTTATACTCATTGGATTTAGAATAATGAAAGGTGATCTTATTGCTTTGACTATACATTAGTGAGACCACATCTTGACTATTGTGTGCATTTTGATCTCCTTGTTTAAGGAAGAAATGAGTTGTAGATGATTCAGGGGAGGTTTACTAGATTGGTACATGGAATGAACAGATTGTCTGATCAGAAAATATTGAATAGGCTAGGGTTGATTTTTACCAAAGCAAGGATGATTTGAATGAAGTTTTTAAGATCCCAAATTGTTCTGACGTGGTGGACATATGATTGAGTCCAGAACTAGGAGACACTTCTAAAATTAGGAGGCCCCCTTTTAAGACCTCAGTAGTTCTCAAACTTGCGTTATGGGAAATCGCCATAGAAAATCATGCTATAGGGAAATCGCTATAGAAAATTGCTATAGCTGTACACCAGAAAGTATACGTTATCCAAACAGTGTCCACTATTTATCAATCGTGTTACAGCTAATTTGCATTAACGAAACACACATCATAGTAGAATATCTGTATTGATTTTAGGGAGTTTGATATCACAGTTATGCAATATAGGCAGTTGCTGATTTGTAAGTAAATTTCTGAAAGTTTATTGAGTTTATCACAAAGCAGTAGTTGAGATATGACACATTAGTTATTAAGGTAAAGAAGTATACAACAATGACAATTAGGGTGTTCACTGATACCAGGGGACAAGAGGCTGTCAGTGCAGTTTGTGTTGATCTTGTTAACGTGATGGGGGCAGCAACCTGCTCTGTAGCTGGGGTGGTAGTGAACTCCTCCTTTGGTCTTTCTCCTCTTTTTCTGGTTCATCTTCCATCTGCCTGATGAGGACTGTTCAATGAAGACTACTGTCTCAGGATTACCCAATAAAAACTGATGCCTTCAAGACCTGCTTGTTGAGAACTCCCCTCTGTCCATGAGCACTTATTATTGGATTGTATCTCTAGGGGTAGGTAGCTTACACTGTGTCAATAAATTGTCCGAATGCTTTTGTCCAATGGCATGGGACAGCTACTCATGACACAGGCAGCCATTGTCCTCTTTCCCACCTCCATTCAAAAGTTCGTTTTCATTCCTTCTAAGAACAAAATCATCTTATTGTCAAAAACAGTATACTAATAAGATACATTTGGTATCTTTTGTTGCTATTTCAGTGCGCATCATGACATCTGTATATCTCATCATTTTTCTTTTCATTATTCTACACTAGAATTTTGAAAAATGAATCGTTTTTGAAAATTTTGCAAAGTTTAAAGTTACTACTGTAGTTGCTGTTAATTGAAATCTTATGCTACGCAGTAAATAGTAGGAAAATCCAGTTTTTAAAGGTCCCCAATATCCAACAGGACACAGGTGAGACATTTTTTAAAGGTTTGTGCTCCTTTGGAAGTCTATCTCAGAAGGCGATTGAGATGGAGTCATTGAATATTTTTAACACGAGGTGGATATATTCTTGTTAGGTGACGGAATCAAGGTTATCTGGGTTAGATGGGAATCTGGAATTTAAACATAAACAAATCAACCATCATCTTATTGATTGGAGCTGGCTTGTAGGGGTGAATGGCCCACCTCAACTCCTAATATATGTTTGGATAAACATTTAAGTTTTGGAGGAGAGCTGACAGGATAAATTCAGACTGGATATTTCTTTTGGGTGTATCTAGTACTAGGAGGCACAATTTAAAAATAAGAGGTTTCCGATTTAGACCATAAGAGAGAGAAGCATTTGGCCCCATCAACTCTGCACTGCCATTTAATCATGGCTGATATGTCTCTTAACCCCATTCTTCCGCTTTCTCCTCCATAATCCTTGATCCCCTTACTAATCAAGAACTTAACTATCTCTGTCTTAAAGACATTCAATGTCTTGGCCTCCAGAGCCTTCTGCAGCAATAGGTTCCACAGATTCATCCTCTGCCTGAAGAAATTCCTCCTCATCCCAGTTCTAAAGGATTGTCCCTTCACTCTGAGGCTGACCACTGGGTCCTAGTCTCTCCAACTTTTGGAAACATTTTTCTTCACATCCACTCTATCCAGACCTCTCAGTATCTGTAGGTTTCAATGAGATCCTCCCTTATCCTTCTAAACTTCATTGAATACAGGTCCAGAGTCTTCAACAGCTCTTCATATGACAAGCCCTTCATTCCCAGGATCATTCTTGTGAACATCCTCCAGACCCCCTGTAATACCAGCACTTCCTTCCTGAGATACAGGGCCCAAAATTACGCCACAATATTCTAAATGCAGTCTGGCCAGAGCCTTATTCTAAGCAGTACGTCCTTGCTGTTGTCTTCTCTAATGAACGCTAACATTGCATTTACCTTCCTAACTGCCAACTGAACCTACATGTTAACCTTAAGAGAATCCTGAACAAGGACTACTGCTAAGGCCCTTTATTCTTCAGATTTCCAAATCCTTTCCCCATTTAGAAAATAGTCTATGCTGTTTCTTCCTACCAAAGTGCCTAAGTTCCCACTTTCACATATTGTATTTCATCTGCCACTTCTTAATCCATCTCTCCTAGCCTGTCCAAGTACTTCTGCAGCCTCCCTGATTCCTCAATGCTTCCTGTCCCTCCACCTATCCTTCTGTCATCTACAAACTTCGCAGCAGTGCTGTCTTTTCCTTAGTACAGATGATTCATGTATAACGTGAATAGTTGTGGACCCCAACAGTCCCAACACTGACCCGTGTGGGACTCCACTAGTCACTGGTTGCCATTCCTGAAAAAGACCCCTTAACCCCACTCTCTGCCTTCTGCCAGTCAGCCAATCCTCTGTCCATGCCAGTACAATGCCCCTAACACTTAACTTTTGTCTTATTTAGCAGCATCCTGTGCAGCACCTTGTCAAAGGTCTTCTAGAAATCCAAACACCTATGACATGTCCACTGGCTCTCCTTTGTCTCACTTGCTCGTTTACAATAGTGATGAGAATTTTTTTCTCTAAGAGTTGTTAAGTCTTTGGAATTCCCTTCCTCGGAGTGCAGGAGAAGCTGGTTCATTGAATATATTCAAGTTTGATTTAGATTTTTCATCAAGAAGGCTGTCAAGCGGTTGTGGGAGTAGGGGAGAGAATAGCAGGAATTGAGGCCATAGTCAGATCGACCATGATGGGTCAAATAGCCAACTCCTCCTATTTCTTTTCTAAATAATTCTACCAAAAAACTACATGGGGATACAACTAACAGATGTATAATGTACAAGAGTTGTATGATATTTATGGAAGACATTGACAGATCATTTTGGTGATGAGCCCCACTTACACTCAAAGAATGAATCGGTCTCAATTTTCCCATTACTGGTACAGCTTGGCAACTGAAATACCAGCATGACTGTTTGGTAACCGAAGACCAACTATGATTACAGTTACAGTTGTCACTTGTTACAGGAACATCCAATTCTTTGTGGTCTTCCTCAGATTTTTTTTCCCCTGAAATTGTTTTTATTTCTTGTTCTCTCCTTCCCAACCTTCACCCCTCCTCTTCCCCTGATCTGCCTCCTTGCTAGGGGACATTCTACTGATGCTGGTTGCCTTGCAGTATCTCACTCAAAAAGCATTTCTTCATGCAGAAACAATAATCTTTTCAATAACAGCCAACCTGATTCCTGTTCTCAGCCAGCACACACACCTGCACACTTCCAGCAGAGTTTGCTGGATTATTTTCCTCAAGAGTGCAGACATTATGGTATCCTTGAGATCAGATAGCTCAACACAACAGATGAATTCACTGATCATTGTTGCATTTGTTACTTCAAATATTGGTTTCCTTGTTCTGAAGGAAGTCTGATATTGGATACCTGCAGTGGAAAGTTCTTGATTCCCCAACTCTCAATACTTGCCTCCTTAATAGTGCCAAATTTAGACAAAATGAGAGTAAATGCTGTTTCAGTGTGCAAGGCTTTGGGGTAAAATGAAATCAAGTACTATTATCTTATTCTTTTCCCCAGGTCCTTCCCAAGTTATCCTCATCAGTTGTGCATGAGATCGATGGTATCCTGGGAAACAAACCATACAGCAAAAAGGACTATCGATCTTAATGAGGGAGTCAAATGGGCCTGGACTGTTATCTTTCAAAAATAATCTTCTTTGCCTGCTCAAATTGTAACTGAAGTTAATACCAGTATGCTTCTGACGAAGGAATTAAACTTCAAGGTCCTCATGCTGCAGAAACGGATCAAACAAGAAAATATATACCACAAACCAGTGCTGACAAGGCATAGCTGGTTCAGTGGGCTGCCTGTTACCTTTGCTAAGTTTTTAAACTTTTTTTTTTCTTAATGCAGAAATATCACTGGATCACAACAGGTGTTGCATTAAAATTAACATCTGATTTGGCTGGTTTTCCCTGTGATGAAAAACATTATTTTAATGAGGAGCTGTTGCTGGATACGGAATCTTTTGATAATGAATATAAAGTATGGTACACTGCTGGAGCCTGCAACTCATAGATTTGACCGTAATCTAATTGCTTGTTAGGAAACCTAATCAATTGAGGTTTTTCCCCAAAAATAGTATTGCGGGATTCCAGATCTGCACACTTGTGTATATGTTATATACATGCAATTTTATATATATATATATATAAATATACATATATATAAATATGGGCCACAAGTTCAGTGGCGACCTTTCAGATGTCCACAACTGTTAAAGTGGCAGAGATGCTGATTTGAAAAAAAAACATAAAAATGTAACAATATAACATAATCTTGAGGCACTATTGAGCATTGTGCCCTGACAACCGGCTGTATATATATGACAGTAAGAGTTTGGTTTCACTTGCCAACAACATGTAGGACTGTAGATTTAAAATGAGCAGTGACTCTTGACTGATCTATGCATGAATCTATTATAATCAGGATCCGTGTGTATGTATATGCTGCTGATCATGTAAATGCAATGAATCCATGGGCTGTTTTGAAAAGATCATATTACAATAAAAAGATTGATATTGGATAGGTTGGGGTTTGGACATTCAAAGAACTATAGCAGGCTGGAGTCCTTTTTCCCTGGTGTTTTTGTTTTATTCTTCCTTCTACCGTGTTACATCCACCCTGTGTGGCACAGAGCAACGGTCAGAAGTGCTAACATTTTTGCTGAAACATTAAACCAAAGTCTCATCTGCCTGTTCAAGTGGTTCAAACATATGTTAAAGATCCAGTGGCACTATTCGAAGAGGAGCAGGAATTCCTTCTGGCATCTTGACCAATATTCCTCCCTAACCAAGTAGGTGTGAATATACATCAATAAAACATGTACATTAGCTAGCTATTTAATTCTTTGTTGGAGCTCTTGTAATCTGTAAAAATGGCTGCCTCATTTACTCAAAAAATGTCGCTACTATTTTCAAAAGATGAGAGATATATTAAAAATTCAATAAATACAATTTTGTTTTAGCTATGTTGATCTTTTGCTCCTGATCAACTTATGGTTCTTCCCAAAGGAAACATGACTGGAGAGTACAAAGTAAAAGGTATTCTTTGCTAATTCCATCTAATAGTGCAACTTAATCCCTCTGGAAACCCATGCAGTTCTACTGAATCATGTGCCAGAATGATAATTTGAATTGCCCTTCAGTATATGATTAAGACATTTTACTTCATTTGCTTTCATCAGTGCCTTAAGGGGGCATCATCTTGTTTCTTCAAGCCTCCTTTAGACCTCATCTCAATGTTTTCCATTCATTTGATTTTTGTTCTTCCTCTTTATTTACCATCAACTTCTCTATTATTGCTTTTGCTTACTTCACTTATAAAGTTTGTAATTTTTAAAGAAAGTAATTTTAAAACAATCTAAAATCACTGCAACAAAGAAATTCTGGTTATTTTTCCTATTCCCTCCTTAAGCCTTCATTTCCCAAGGCATTAATATTTTGCTGAGGTTTGGAATGATACAGCATAGAAGGTCGAACAGTACTTTGTGTCTCGTTGATGGAGCTGTCCAGTTAATTCCATTTTTCGTGTCTTTAGGCCTATAATTTTCTCCTTTCAAACATAAATCTGATCGGCAGTTGAATTTGCTTCCACGACAACGTCCACCCAGCCCCTATTCTAAGGCACTGCCTTAGACCATTCCACATCTTAAAACTTGCTGTGTGCAAAATAAAAGTTTCTTCATGCAATCTGCAGTTTGTTGCCAATTAGTTTTAATCTACATAACTCTTTTTCACTGAAACAATTTCTCTATTTACTGTATGAAAAAGTTATGATTTTGAACTATTAAATTTCCACTTAATCATCTTTGCTCCAAGGGCAACAACTCTACTTGCACCGCTCGCAACACAACTGAAAATCTTTCATCCTGAATACCATTCTAGTGAATCTCTTCTGCACCCTTTTCAAGACATTGGCATCCTTTCTGTAGTGTGGTGCTCTGAATTAAACACAGTTCTTTAGCTGGGACTAAATGTGATATTATTAAGGTTTATTCTATTAAGGTTTGTATTCTAATCCTCTGTTAATAAAGCCAAGTATCCCATATGTTATAACAAGGTGTAGAGCTGGATGAACATAGCAGGCCAAGCAGCATCAGAGGAGCAGGAAGGCTGACGTTTCGGGCCTAGACCCTTCTTCAGAAAATTCATTTTCCATTCATTCTCCAGCATCTGCAGTTCCTACTATCTCTATCCCACATGTTAGTTTAACCAGCTATAAGGAGATGCTATTCCTGTACTTCCTTAAAAATGATACCATTTAGTTCCTATCGCTTCTTCTCATACTTTTTACCAAAGATTCATCACTTCATGGTATCAACAGACTATTTACTCAAACATGAATCTCATCTGTCTCCCTTTAACACATCCAGCATGATAGTTAGGCCCTTATGAAATATTGGTAGTGACACTATTTCTGGTTCAGAAGATCAAGCTTCATGTCTCATCTGACCTAGTGCTGTGTCTCCACATATCCAAACAGATTTTAAAAACAATAAGGGCCCATATGCTGCAGTGGTAGCACCCTACCTTCAAGTCACCTCCTCCAGAGGTGTGCCATAACATCACTAAACAGGTTAAATAAAAAATACACATCTAACATGAATCACTGAATAGCAAATGAGACCAGGAACTCTGAGTCAACTTCATGTGAGCTCAGAAATCACTTTCAACTATTTTAGTGAAGAGCAAATTAAACAGAAGACTTCACTGGGTCACATGGCTTCTCAACTAAGCCATGATGTGGAGGTGTTGGACCAGGGTGGACAAGATCAGAACTCACACGACACCAGGTTATAGTCCAACACGTTTATTTGAAATCACAAGCTTTCGGAGCACAGCCCCTTGGTCAGGTGGAGTCCTGACAAAAGGGCTGCGCTGTGAAAGCTTGTGATTTCACATAAACCTGTTGGATTATAACCTGGCATCATGTGATTTTTGACTTTGTCCACCAGCTGAGCCACTAAGAAAGCTGTATAGCTATGAATGCAGAATTACTCATGATGGTATCTTTATATGTTGCTTCTTCACATTTTTTATATCTAACTAACTTGATGTAACAGAGAAGGTTGATAAAGGTGGTTTGACATAAATGTACTTCCAAAAGACATGAAATAAAGTGCCACATAATAGGCACCTGAAGTTGAAGCCTGAAGAATAAACAAGACAGTGACAGGGACAGGACAGAATCAAACTTGATTGAGTGTGGAGAGGTGAACTGAAGGAACATGCACTGGGGCTTCCCCAAAGGTTGCTGCTAGGACCACTGCCTTTCTTGGAATGGAAGTGACAAAGTATTGCCATGCATACCAGATAGCAATGAACAATAAAGATATTGATACAGTAGACTTCATGAGGGCATGGACAAGTTGGTGAAATGGATGTGTGGCAGATTAAATTTAGTTTAAGTGCAAAGTGATGCATTTTGATGGAAAGGACAAGAAAAAGCAGTATAAAATGAAGAGGACAGTTCTAAAGATGTGGGGGGGGGGGGGGGGAGTGGAGAAACGAGGTTGAATTGAGCAACAGATGGGGGCAGTGTGTGCACAAATTGTTAATTGTGGCTGAGCATGCTGAGAAATTGATTAGAGATATACAGGATCTTGGACTTCATAAATTGAGGTATAGAGGACAAATGCAAGAAGTTATAATGAACCTTCCTAAAGTGCTAGTTTGGTGTCTGTGCCCAATTCCTCATTTATAGAGTCCATGTTGTTTAATTGTCTACCACCATTCTCTACTCGATATGGCAGGACTACAGCGCTTATGTTCTGATCCACTGTTGGGTTAATGCCTTAAACTCTATATAGCATGTTGTCACAACTATTTAACATGCATGTAGTCCTGTCTTGTTGCTTCACCAAATTGGCATGTTATTATTAGATGTGCTTGCTGCCTGGTCTCACTAGTGCTTCTGTATTTCGTTGAGCCAGATTAATGCTGTTGTTACATGGCAATTGTCAAGTCAAAGATATGCCAAGCCAGAAGGATTTACACTTTAGTGGAATACAATTCTGTTGCTGATGCCAACAGTTCCTCATGGATGCCCAGTTTTGATCAGAAAGATCTGCTCTGAATCTACTGCATTCTGCATAGTGGTAGTGCCACAGTACTACAGAGGGCATCCTCAGTGTGTATGCAGTGGTTTCTTCTATAAATACTGTCATGGTCAGATCTGTAACAAGTAGGCTTGTCCCTCATTTTATCTCTTACTATCTACCACAGACTCAAACTGGCAAGCATGTCCATCTGTAATGGACCAACCCAGTCAGTAATGGTGTTACTAAGTCATTCAACGATGGGCATTGAATGCTCCCCCAGCTAAGTAGTTTCTAGGCACTTGCTATTCTCTGTGCTTGTTTCATGGAGGAGCATTGATCAGCAGCTGAGTGGATGCTAATAAACAGGAGGTTTTCTTGTCCATATTTGACTTGATGCCATGTGACATTGCTTTGAGAGTTAATATTGACGATATTCAGGGCAACTTCCTTCTAGCTGTCAACCAGTGTGCTATCTCCTCAGGTGATGTAAGGGTCACTAGGTCAGGCTGCTAGTTGACTACTTTCACTATAGCTCTCTCCAATTTTGAACAAGACCTTGAGGTTAGTAATGAAAATGTTACAGGTTTCCTATGAAAATTGACTTTCTGAATCAATGCTAGATTTCTCCTAGGGACATCATGAATCAGGTAAATTTCTAATATCAATCTGGAAATTTCATGCACCATTACTAATAGACTTTACCCAAATTTATCTAATAAAGTTTCAAATTTAACTTTAATTAGTTAAATTTACATTCCACAATTTGAAATGGCCTTGCTGATGACACTTGTATTCCAATGACTGAATAAAAAGAATTGAACACTGACCAAACTCTGTTTGCTTGTACCTTGAAGGAACAGAGCTCCATCTTAATAAAAATGGTACTTTGCATGATATATACATCAAAATCAGCACATTGAGTTAAAGCTCTGAGCCTTCACACTAGAACAGGAATAAAGCTGGGTTTGGATCTAATGTTATCATTTGTATTATGGTTGCATATTTAGAATAGTGATTTGACATGTCAGACAATTATCCCACTTCTTCAGCTTTTCAAGTATTTTCCCATTTGAAAGCTAGAATTGAAACTGTCTCCACCAGCACTTCAGGAACTGCATTCCAAATTGCAACCATTGCTTCACAGACTTTTTCCTCCTGGCATATTTGATTTTTTTTAAAAATCAGCCAATTTTTGCCTTTTTGGTTTTTGATTCTTCTACCACTTGGAACACTTTCACAATTGTCCATAGAACCTTCAAGTACTTGAATACTCCCAATGTGCTCACACCCAGAGGTTAGCAGAGACCTAACTTTCACTCCTAAAAGGTACTGGTTGGTTGGGAATTGGAGTGGAAATTACCCAACTTAAAAGAAACTTCCCCCAGATCCAGTGTTAGCGTTGCTTTGTCAGTGTTCTGTAGCTACAAATGTCACCTTAATTGCATCACTGATATTATTCCATTTTTCACATAATCTATCTCACTCAGGCAGTACTGATAGCTATTTGCGCTGTGTGCTACGTCCACTCAAAACTAGCAATGGTTGCAAATTCATTTAATATAGCCTTTAGCAGCCAAAAGACAGGAACAAGAGTGAGCCATTCAATCCCTTGATTCTGTTACACATTCAATTACATGATGTTTAATCTATTCTTGAACCTGATTAGAGGTACAGATCGTATTTTTTTTTCCTTTTTATATCTTTATCCAAGAGGTCCCCTTTATACAGTTTTTTTTGTTAAAAGGTTGCAAAAACATTGCAGATATGGTGTTCTATGTGATGGAGCTTTTGACAATTACTTCCAGTTGATATTGTAATGAACTTCCCATTTGGAGTAATCACATACATCCAAAATCAAGCATCAATTTGAAGAACCAATATTAAGTGGCATTTTCTTAATGTCTCAGGAAGTCTTCTGTGGCAGTCCTTTCCTGGGGGTTCTCATTCTATAAATACCTGTTACCATTAGGTTCCCTTAGCACCATAACTTAGTGACCAATCATTCAGGTGAGTCTGGACAGTGAATATTGAAAATGATTTTGTACACATGGGAAGGAAAATTTACAGCTGGACTCAAGCGTGGCTTCATCAAATACGCAGATCGGACTCCTGTGGCAGAGTAGTAGTGTCCCTACCTCTGAGCTATATAATAATCAGGTTAGAAAATATAAGGTAACAACATCGAGACGCAGAAAAAGACAGCTGCAGATTTCAGTCGGCTAAGTAAATCTTGTCTCATCCAGGGACAGTACTGTGTTTACCCAGATTAGCCACCAGAGGGTGTCAAACTCAGAAGTCTCGCAAAGTGGATTAAAGAGTTAGAAAGCACAAAGCCATGATTTTAGGGACTGTATTAAGATGCGCTTTGAGTTTATACAGTCAGGTGCCTTTCAATTTGGGTGCAACTTTCTTACCAAATAGCTTATTAATCTCAAGTAAGACAGCAGTAATATTCTGTACACAGAATTGGAAAATACAATAACACCTTACAAGATACTGCTTAAAAAAAACGTTAAAACACTGGAATTTGGAGTGGATATGTGCAAATGGCTGGGATTTGCCAGTTGGTCTCCCATGTATTAAATCAAGTGAGAAATACAATACTATTTATAACAATACTGTTAAGTAAAAAGATAATTTGTGAATCATCCTCACACTAATGCCCTTTTTATTGGATTGGGGCTACAGCAGGCAGAGAGCTGAACCAGGATGAATAAGAAATCAGCAAAAATTGTACCAGTATTTTTCTGGTGCTTGCTGGGTTCTTGCTCCTTTCACTTCATCTCCTGAAGTTGGCTCAGGAGACTGGGGCAATGAAAGAAATTAATCTTAGCTTACCTATTTGCCTTCCCCAAGCGTCAGGATCACTTGTGATTGGATTTGGGTGGTGTTTTATAGACACATGAGCACCAATGATTCCTTGGCCCTATGCAGCCCTGGTCCTTTTACACTTGGAAACAAAAGAGAAACAGCCTCCACTGCAATGCCTTGCCCACTTCCCATTGACATTCAATTCTTCATGGTTTCTCAGTTAAATGAACCAGTTTAAATGACATTTACCAAAACATTTAACTTGCACTTCGAAGAATCATTAAGAACAATTCAAAACCTTTGGGTCCAGCATCGTATTGGTCATTGTGACCAGTAGCATCTCCAGGGCAGTCTGTTGCAGAAGCAGCAGTGTCCAGTCTTAACAAACATTCTTCACATTCCTGCATCCAGTGGCACTAATTCCATATTCCATCATGTCATTTTTATATGCTGAGAGGTGTACGGGGATTCCAAGGGCCTTGTCCTGCTAACACATGGGAGATGAGCTGAGGATTGCTCTCAACCCCTTCAGCAGAACAAGATTGTTATGACCATGGTCAGTGTAAAACTGCAGGTAATGGGTGTCCTGCTGGGACTGCAGAGCACTGTAGGAAGTTGGGCTTCCCCAAGTGCCTCCAAATTATTTTACAGCACAGAGTAGATCCATGCTCCCTTTTCCCCAAGAGAATCTGATGCTCTTTAATGGCAGTGTTGACCTTGGCACGGGGTTCACTTTGGATCCTGGAACAGTGCTTGGCACTGCGGAATACTGATCATATTGGCAGTTTAGGGGATGACTATTGTACTGTAGTTTATTGATGGCACCTAGGGCTATTATGTAGAATCACTTTAAATATTCCAGAGTTTACAAACTCTGGTAAGCATTACGATTCTCTTGTCTTTTGGCCCACACCTCTAAAGCTGTGGAGCTACCCTCCCTGAAACAACAGTCAATGCAAGAGGAACAGTCTTCCATGAACGTGCGAAAAAAAGTGCAAATATGTACAAGTGAGCAGAGACTCACTAACCCCCCCCCCCCCCCCCAACCCCACCCCCCCCCCCCCTTCCCCCAAGATGGAAATAGTTTGTGTTATCCAACAAACGTTTAAAGATGATAAGCAGTACGATGACTGCATCAACTGCTGTCGTCTGGGAATGCCGTGGGGAACTCTGCCATCAATCTTCAATGCAGATTATATCATTGACTTTATTTTTCTTCTCTCCTGCTTCCAGCCCTTCTGCTAGGAGCTTTTTATCTGGGACGCTCATAGCCGAAATATTTGTGGTTGCTGCAAACAAGCAGAATTGTTTTAATTGACTCTTCTTTTAGTTGTAAATTTAGTATCATTTTTAAAGTACAATAACTTGTAATCATATTGCACTTTAAGCTTGATAAAACACCCTCCTGTCGAGTGTCTTGGGGTAATTAAAACAGTCACTTGATAGTGGGTCCACGGTGGTATACTGGGGAGGTCCAGGTTATCAAATACCTGGCTGAAATGACAAATTTTGAAGGAGCACTTTAAAAGGGGAAGAGAGTTTGGGGCTGTAACAGTTGAAGGCACAGCCGCCAATAGTGGATCAAGGTTATGAGGGAGGCGAGAGAGGCTGGAATCGGATTGTTTTAAACCCCCTCTCATCACACCCTTTTACGAGTGGAGTCATTTTAGTTTTAACTAAATAGCACACATCAAGCTAAAGAAGCTCCACATCTTTCAATAGGTCTGTGATCCACTTGGATATTTGACCCTAAAGTTCCCTCTGAATTGTGATGAATTTGTACAAGAAGCAAGGGGGATTTCATGCTCCAGGTCACTGACTGGTCCTGGCTACAAAGTGTGTCTGAAGAATGCCAGACTGAATTCCATCTATTTTAATAAGGGGAGAATTCCTTGTACTCCACTGAACAATTTTCTTTGTTATTATTCATTCTAAGGATGTGGGCATCACTGGCAAGGCCAGCATTTGTCGCCCAACCATAAGTTTCTGGATAAAGCAGACTCTTTCTTAGTCACTAGAAATTACACTTAAGAGTCGACCACATGGGTGTGCAACCGAGTCACATATAGACTGGCTAAGACAGCAAGTTCCTAAATGATATTTGTGAACTAGATGGTTATTTACAATAATCCAACAGCTTCACAGCTACCAGTACTTTTATTTGCAGAATTCAGGTGTAAGTGCTGTTTTTCTATAACATACGTACCACTGATATAGGGCCCTAGAGGCATCTGATTGTAGTTGATGAGACCTCCAGTGCCTGGTCCCCGGAAGGTAGGTGCAAAGTTGTTACTGTACATCTGTGCTGTTCCGTAGGGGCCCTGTGGGAACGGCTGTAAAAGATGGTTAGTTTAAACAAAATTGAATTAGATTAAACTCAACATCCGAAATAGTTTACACAAATATTTCAAAGCTGAAACTGCAAGCTCTGAAAATGTTGACCCTTTAGTCCTGCCCCACTCGAGGGGTACCGAGTGCCTTCAGTTCTCGTTGGGATGCATCACAGTAAAATGCAATTGTGTCCTCACCATCCACACCAACCACACACAGGGACGGAGCTTTACTCTGTACCGACCCACATTACACTGGTTTGATAGGACATATAACATCCAAAGTTGGGGCTGTCATTTCCCCCATACACCCCACCACCCCCTCAAAAAAAAACCCAATCACTAACATCACTCCTCATCATGGGCAGGAATCCCAAAAAGTAGATAAACTGTGTACCAAGTCTCATTATGCCATCCATTTCTGATTGGGAGAACCAGGCTCCTCCAATAAACAATCCCTTCTTGATTCTATGGGGTTCAGTGGCAAAGGGATTACTGCACCCGCACACTCAGAACCTCTTACCATGATGCCCTTGCCCAGTTTCTCACCTGTTGTTGTGGCTCATTTCCCCGATTTGCTAGTCGGCTCAAAATGCTTCGCTCAGACATCTGCAGTCGTGCTGCCACAGGTGGCACCCTAGACAACATGTTGGGTAATCTCGTCACATCTGCCTTCATGTCGCTCAGGAGCTCCTCCAGCTGATTCAGGACTGAAAGAAACAAAAAGCAAACACAGGGCGAGGAGCTCAGGGCCAGGGTTTCAGAAGGGGGGTGGGGAGGGGCCACAGCGACAACACATCATTCACAGCTGGTGAAGTGGTACTGAGTGGCTCCATAAGCCACAGTAACACCACGCAGTAAGTACAAGGAACAGCAACATTGCAGGTGAAGGTGAAGTGGAGGGGCATTGGTAGGAAACCAATAATAAGGGACAATAAAAGGAGGCAGTATTTTTAACACTCTACCCAGGCTCTGGAAGTACAGCTTCACTTGTAATACTTGCTCACAGCTCTTCCCCGTACATAGATTCAGTTTTTGCTCTTTCCCTGAGCAACATTGATATGTTTCTGTGTGGACTAGAAAATTATCCTGATAAATTGTGCAGAGAAAATCACAACCACATGGAAAATAGCACCTGGCTATTGTCTGTACATGTTTAAGGTATGGTGGTATGATGACAAATTATACTGGACAATTAACCCAGAGAACTTCATGGTGCAAAGTGGCCCTTTCAGACTTTTCACTGAGTTTCAATAAGTGATAGACGTAAGTGATCGTGAAGCTGTCAGGCTTTTGTAAAAACCCAACGGGTCCTTTAGGAAACCTTATCCACTCTGGGTCTGTGTGTCTCCACTCCCATCAACATGATTAACTTTTAACTACCCACTAATGAGGCCCAGAAACACTCCATCGTAACATAAACCCCACACTTTAATGGTTCAGGAAGGCAGTCCATTCGACCCATCACCTTCTCATAGTTACTAGGGAAAGGTAAAAAAATGTTCTTTCCAGCTACACCCATATCCTGATTTGATTTTTGGAATGTACAAGATCAGCCTGATCCTCAGCCTCACTTTGCTGAGCACTGACTCCTGCAGGAGGCCAAGAGAACTGCATTGGGCTGAAGTTGCTCTTCACTGGTCACTGCTTTGTCACTGAGTCGAAAGATTATGGCAATGTCCCTGGTTTGGTAAATTCAGAGGCTATGGCTAATGCTCTGGGACAGGAGGTCAAATCCTACCACAAGCTCTGGAAGAATTTGAATTCATTATTACATAAAAATCTGAGGTTGAAAGTTAGTCTCAGTAATAGTGATCATGAAACCATCGATTGTCATAACTAGTTAATTAGTGTTTTTTAGAGAGGGAAATCTATACCCAGTCTGGTCTATATGTAACTCCAAACCCACAGAATTTCACACCGAAATGCAATACACTGTGTTCAAGGGCAATTAATGATGGATCAACAAATGCTGGCCTTGCCAATGACTCCCATTTCCCAGCAGCAGAAACAAAACAGAACAGTCCTGGGATCTATCCCAGACTATACTGAATTGGCTAACCTAAGCTGGGTTGCAATTGTAAGCACCTTGGACTGGAACTTGGAAGGTGGGGGTGCATGGAATTTTAAACTCAGGGCATTACCCCATCCTGGCATTTCTCATTCACAATTCAGTTATAGCCTGGGTAAACTCAGCAGGGTGCAGGAATTAAATATCTGCAGAGTTCAAGTATGTTATTAGCAGCAGGACCACCAGGGGGAGTCTGTGCTTTTCCTTTTGAGATTTTCATGTGTTTTTAGTCGTATTGAGCTTTTTGCTGTGTCTCTGCCCCAGGAACAGCCCCTGAGAGGAAAGGGCTAATATTCTGTGCTCAACAAACAGAAACCGAAGCCATTGCTCCATACCAAAATTAGGAGTTAGATGTTAAACAGCACCATAGAGAATGGTATTAGCAGTCAATCAGGTCCAAAATGATTAAATTCCAGACTTACAGCTTCTATTCAAATATAAATACTCTCCAGCATCAAGTCTGTCCTTTCCACAAACAGTTGGGAATGAGAGGGGATTAGTCCAAATAACCGTGCCAGGGTATTGTAAAAATACAACAGATCTTACCCTATGATCAATCTAAAATAACAACTTGCATTTTGAAAGCACCTTTCTCGTTGTAACAAACTCCACAGTGCTTCACAGGTCTGTGACCAGGCAATCTGAGGAAACTAAATGAGGATGGTTTCAGGGAGCAACATGAACAAGGAGAGAAAGAGAGAGAGGCCAGGGGTTTAGGGAGGAAATTCCGGATTGCACAGTCTGGGAAGCTGAAGTTTTGGTCACTGACAGATTAACACCAGCTTGTTTGGAAGAGTCTGGAAAAACATAGGTGGGTTGTGGGGCTGGAGGAGATCCCAGAGATCTGGGGAGAGTGGGGGTTGGAATTTGGAGCCAAGGATGAGTGTCTTAAAATTCCTGGAGCAGCAGCCAATGTTTGTCAGTGAACACAGAGAGAAGGGTGAATCAGAGTTGATCCAAATGTGACAGCAGGCAGCAGAGCTTTGTACCAGCTCCGGTGTGTGTGTGTGTGTGTGTGGGATGGTGGGTTAATGGGTTAATGCGTGGGGGACAAGTCACATCACCAAGAATGGCGGACCTGAAACTTTCAGCAGATCAGCTGAGACAGGGATGGACTCTGATGAAAACAGGCCAATTAATGATACAGAGATAGTAGGAACTGCAGATGCTGGTGAATCC